TATGTTCAATATTTCTACGTTCAACGATGAGACACGGCAGTCCATCTTTCTGGGTTTGATCGCTGTAGCCAAAGGAGAACCAGAGAGATGAAAGAGATTTTAAAAAGATTAAAAACCAAATGAATTCATTGAGTCAGAATAGTTCTTCTGTCTTTTCCCTCCAATAAAGCAGGTGATTCTCTTCAGGGATCTGAACATCCAGGAAAGGCTCCTGACTGACGCTCTATAGATCTATTTTCCTAGATGGAACAGTCTGATGAGGATCAGACGTTCACTCCTGTCTGCGCTCCTTCCTCCTGCAGGTCAGAGGTTGTTTCGGCGTCCAGGTGTCGGATCGGACTCCATGAGCGAGACCAGCTCCATCGGAGCAGCTGAGGAGGCCTCCATCACCCCCCCCTCCACGTCTCACCCTGAGACACTGGATGTCTCCACAGGAGACGGGGCTCCGCCCACGCAGGAGGAGGGTCTGCAGCTGGATCTCAGTGGGAGATGAAGAACATCTCCACCTCCAGGCGTCCTCCATCCGTCCAGAACCAGCCGCCGGTCCATCGTGTCCAACGTGTCCAACATGTCCAACATGTCGCCGTCCTCCCCTCCTCTGCCTCCCCTCCCCTCCTCTGCCTCCACTCCTCCCTCCTGCCGCCGTGGCACTCAGGAGCAACAGGAGCTGTGAAGGCAGAGGAAGGAGGCCGTCTTCCCATCCTGGGATTACTCCCATTTATTTCTGTCCAGAGGTCAGAGGTCAGTCTGGGGCCTCCAGTAGCTCCGCCTCCTCTGTGTTCAACCCAGACATTATACCGATCCCACAATGATTGGACGAGAAGCTCTGGAGGCGGGGCTTCTTCACTGTGATGGAGAAGAAAAAAGTTATATTTAGAAGAAAGATGATTTAAGGAGTTATTGTTGACAAACGGATGAATGTAGATCAGAGCCTCGTCATGCGTTACTGTTGCCCCGCCCCCCCATGCCGCTTTCACCCCGTTCAGAAACGTTTTCTTCTTCTGCAGACCGTTTTCTCCTATTTATCGACTCACTGCACAAAAAACCAATCTATGAAGTTTGAATGAGAAAAATGATCTATAATGATCAGAACCACTGATGTCAGAAACTGAAGTTAAACGTAACCTTTGATCTAATCTACTGTCTAATCTAATCTAATCCAGTTTAAAACGGCTGAATTCAAATGAAGTTTTCTTTTTGCTCTGATCATTAGGATTCAGTTTTGTCCGTCCGGCGGATCCTTCGGTGTTTCTTCTCTGCTGATATTTTTATTTAAACTAGTTTGAGTCGATCTGAGTGGTTTCTGTCGCCCCCTACAGGCGGCTTTATTGGCCATTTGCACTTTAATGAGGTTTTCATGAACGGATCGGTTTCCCAGGAACCAAAGCTTTGTGTCTGCGATGAATGCGATGCCAAGTGGACTGCTAGTCGCAGCGTTAGCCGCAGCGCTGGCCGCAGCTTTAGCCGCAGCGCTGGCCGCAGCTTTAGCCGCAGCATTAGCCGCAGCGCTGGCCGCAGCTTTAGCCGCAGCTTTAGCCGCAGCTTTAGCCGTAGCGTTAGCCGCAGCTTTAGCCGCAGCTTTAGCCGTAGCTTTAGCCGTAGCGTTAGCCGCAGCTTTAGCCGCAGCGTTAGCTGCAGCTTTAGCCGTAGCGTTAGCCGTAGCTTTAGCCGCAGCGTTAGCCGCAGCGTTAGCCGCAGCTTTAGCCGTAGCGTTAGCCGCAGCGTTAGCCGAAGCACAGCCCACCTGCAGGGTCAGGTCTCCTGCCTCACAGCCAGAATAACTGACCTGGTCTGGTTGGATAGAAAAGCTCTGAGATTCTTAGTTGGATCCATATGTAGACTTGGACTAGGCCGCTAAGGCCAGCTGTCCTATCTCTGGACCTCCACCCAGGTCTCCATGGATGGATCAGAGCTCTGTTACATTGCTCCAGAACCAAACCCTGGACCTGACCCGTCTGCCGGGTTCCCGGGTCTTCATGAGGGACCTTGTTCTCTAAAGAACCAGTGAGACCAGAACAGCTGCAGGTGTTCTGGTTCCAGGGATCGATTATTTCCTGCTGCTGGGAGTCTGTGAGGTGGGGATAGATTCATTATCTTACCCGCATCATTCTGGGAGCTTCAGCGATCAGATGCAGCCTGATGAAATCTAACAAACGTAGATCTATGGGCGGTGATCTGAAGGTTCTAAAAGGGTTTTCTTTGCACTTCTAGTTGTTTTATATCTGTGATTGTTTTGGGTTAATCCTGTTTTTATTGCAACCGTCCTGGAAGCTGCCTCCAGGATCAGTGTCCACCAGCTGGATGTCTGCTCAGGGTTCAGCTCCAAACGGGCCTGAGAGACGTTCACCTTTATGAAAAAGGTTCTTTGAAGCTTTTATCTACACCTCAGCAGACCGTCAGTCTGAGCGTCCCAGGAACGGACTGATGATCCGGTTGAACGGATCAGAACCGGACAGATGCTAACTGACAGCGAGGCTCTTCTCCACTGAACCGCGGCACAAAAAGTCGGGTTTCCTTCGTAAACTTGATAAGAGAGGAAAAAGGAAGTAGGTGGAGCTTCCACCGCAGTCTTCATTCTTTTACTACTGGACCCTTTTCTTCTTCTATGGTGTAAATGAAGCAGAGTTTCTGGAGTCTTTCTGTTGTGGTGTTCTAATCAAAACATGAATAAACTTTTTAAGGGAAAAGAGGCTGTTTTCTGATTATTGGTTGTAATGTTGCTCAGTCCACAGGAAGCCGAGGGGAAAAGAGAGAACGTTAGAGATAGAACTAACAGATTCTGCAGAGTGGGAGAATAGAGATAGAATGAAGCAGAATGAT